TGTTAGACTTGGGCATGGCGTTCCATCACAACAGGAGTCCAAAAGAAGGCTTGAAACCTTGCAAAGGCCTCCGTGTCCGCTTGTGAACCGATTAAGCACTTGCAGTCGTTATTGTAGAGTTTAGGCTCTAGGGTGGAACCCTGACTCCGCAGGTGTTGACGGGGTGTCGCCTGTTTTTTGGCATTGTCCCAGCACGGCGGAACGGGCAATTTGAACAACAGCAGCCTGTGCAAGGTTCCAAAAGTTTAGAAAGTAGGGCGGTAAAGGTGGAGCAAGGTCTAGGCTGACGGCCTCAACCTGCCCTCCTTCAAGAATGGAGCGCACCCAGGCTTTCGTCGCCGTAGCCATGGCGCTCGTTACTTTCCTTGGGTGCTCTGTCCGATCACAAACCCTGAGCTGTGCGAGCCTGAGAGCCTAAACCTTCAAGAAAATACGCGACGCGCTGTACTGCTATTTCAACCATCAGAGCCAACACCCTCAAGCAATCTATACTGGTTCTTAATATTGAAGCCCCGAACCTGAACCCTAAAGTACAGACTGCGTCAGTAATTCAGGGAGATGGGGCCCGGTCTGTAGGGCTGAAACTTGCGGTGCGGCTGAAACTTGCATTTAGTTGGGTTGACCCCGTTGAGCGGCGTTTTGTTGGTTGCGAGGTTAAGGGTTCGTGGGTTTATGGTATGCTCACGGCTTATTGCGTTTTTTTTGGAGCCTGTGACTTCACGGGATTCCATATTATTCTCTTGCTTCAAAGCCCCAAAGCCCCAAACCCGAAGAATCTGAGAACGGAATCCATTGCCACTCCACTCCCTGTAACTTCGCCGCAGCTGTGCTTGACGCCGCTTCTCAAACCCTAAACCCTAACCCTGGACCCTAAACCCTTTGCCCTTGCTCGTCTTCGGCTTGCCAAAACGAACTCTGCTCAGCTACATTCAGGTATCGGGTATCTTGCTTGAGTCTCGGTTTCCTCTACAGGATTCTACCGGCTTCAGGGTTTCAGTGAGCCAGGGCTACGTTTTTTTGGTTGACAAAATCCTAAACCTTAAACCTAAACCCAGACCGCGCCCGCCAACCTTAAACTTTAAACCCTGAACCGTATCCTAAACCCTAAGCCCAATACAGCCCCAGGCGTGGCATCTACTGCTCTCGCAGCCGTGCTCGCGACGGCACGCCTGGCCTGCCAGAACGTGCAGATTCCAGATTGCCAAGAGTTGCAGGGTATGGTTTCCGGGCTTAGGGCTAGGGGCACGCAGCTTTGCAGGGTCTAAAACTCGGTGATTATGCCGATTTCGCATGTATACATGCACTGTATATACTGTGTACACATACATGCTAGATCCGTTCAGAGCCCTGGGTTCGGATACGGGTCTTGCACGCTTTGGTTCTTTGGATGTGTGCTGGCTCTGGCTTTTCGAGCTTTAGCGCTGATGGCTCTGCACCTCAGCCCACGCACTTCCAGAGTATCCAAGGAAACAAAGCGCATACTGCAGATCTGGCACGGTTTCGATCGTGCAACTGGGCCAAACGTGGCGCTTTTTTGCTTGCCATGGATATGCTGTATGCCCTCGTGGACACCTGAATCTGAACAGTGAGTCCATGACTTCACGCTCGGTGAGCCCACATCTCAGGTCGACGCAATGCTGCGTCGCCGCGTCCGGCGTGTGGCCCGGCCTGCGTAAGACCTTTTGGCTAGCCTTTGCCTTGGGGCTTCCGTGGGCTGGGGTCCTTTACTGCATGTTTGATGGCGCGCTTGATGGAATCATACCTTGAGCTGTCGCGGTGTCGTCTTTTTCGCGGGACTTAGGCAATTAGAACCAGCTTGCGCCAGTGCAAAGCCTTACGTCAGCAATACGCTCGAGACACAATGGCGTATGCCATTTTATGAGATGTGCTGCTTCAAAACTTTCTTGTTACGATCAGTAAAATCGTTGGAACCCTGTCTATCTGCAGCGCCTTAGTTTGGGGTTTGAGATGCTGGGCTGCCGGAGCTATTCTAACCAGACCAGACTTTGGGAGCTTGGGGTTTGCGTGGTCATTTAAAGGCGTCGAAGTTGCTGAATTAGCGACATGATTTGAGGATCGATGAAGAGAGGAAGAGAATGCAGAGATGGAGAGAACAAGAATCAGATTGGGGAAAGGACATCAGGAATCCGCCGGGCATTTGCTTGTCGCTGCCCGAAAGGCCTTTTGCCAGGATCGAGCGCAGCAGAAATAAGCGTTGAAGCCCAAACAGATTGGGATGGGAAGATGGAATATTCGGCTCACTGTCTGAATGGGATGTTCAGCTGCTTCGAACACTTTCAAATACCCTCACTCGGGAGGCGGTGCCAACAGTCGAGGCATCGCCCCTTTCCACTCTGAGGGCATACTGGCAGGAGGTGCCTGGTGCGGGGGATGGCTGAATAATATTAGCCATGGTCGGTCGGCGGCCCCTCCTTTTGACATCTGTGTTGTGTGAGGTGAGTGGAGTCCGATGAGCCCTCCCCCCTTTTCACCAACTTCTTGCCTCGGGTGATGACGTTTTTCGGCCAGCGTGAAGTCCAACTCGAGGGGGTCGGAGGTCCCTCAGCAGGCAGGAGGGATAGCGCCTACAGCGTGGCTACCAGCTACCCCCAGTTGGCAGTCGCTCCTCACTCACTCACTCACTCACACTTTCGCAACGTACGTCTTCAATTTACGGGTATTACACATGGGCATCCTTTCGTTACAAAGCCACCTACGAACCCATACCTCGCGACAAATTCGCACACTAGTTCGACCCAAGACTGTCGCGTAGAAGATTGCCGGTCAGGAAAATACCATTGGGAAGTAAGAACAAAGTCTAGCGCAAGCCGCGTAGCTGGAATGTTCTTAGCAGTACTCCCGCAAGGCGCTGGTACGGTGGAAGGCGCTGCCTCCACGGCGCGGCGTGCCTGGCCAGGCCGGCTCTCAGAACCTTCATTCGTTTTGGAGCTATGCCCTGCGACTCATGTCCCCAAACTGCCACGGTAAGGACGCTGTTTTTGTACACCCGGGTCCTCTGGGGACGCCTGGGCATTCTAAAACTCAAAAGACGTTTGTTTCGGCGAAGGGCCACCGCAAACCAGCCAGCGCTGCCTCTGAGGCCGTGGGGGCGACGAGCGTGCCGCCGCATGTGCGCCCGAACCTGGGCAGCTCCGGCGCTGTGGGGCTGGACATGGCGCAGGGCGTGTGGCTCGGACGAAGCTTGGGCTTGTCTGCAGGGCTCCAGTGGAAAGGTTCATGTTGGTCTATAGGTCCAGGTCTTGGAACTAGCGTACTGTAGTTACTGCCTCAAAGACCCTGGAATCCATCCCAGCTCCTACTGCTACTACTGCTACTACTGCCACTATTGCTACTGCGCACTGCTGCTGCTACTACTACCCTGCAGTGGTAGCCTGATTATCCAGCTAAGCCCACCGCAAAGGCTTCACAGAAAGCCAAAATGGGAGACCCCACCTCAATCTGCCGCCGCAAGGCTTGCGTCATTCGACGACATCGACTGAAGTGGCCTTGGCGGCGCTGGCTTCACGATGCTTCAGAGCTGCAGGGTTTTGGGCTGGAGGTAGTTTGCAAGGTGAAAGATCGCCAAAGACGTCCATGCATTCTCAGATCCCCAGACCGTCGTTCCAAATTTCACAAATTCTTCGAGCCTGACATCCTGAATCTTCACTTTTAGGCAAAAGGGTTTGTGGAGATTGGGGAGTTTCGCAAGGTGTCAGGAATTTTCCCAGAATGCCATTGCAGTTGCGCGAATGGCGTCTCCAGGTCATGCTGTTACCCTGGTTATTCGCCCGCAGTGGGCGAACATCCAAAAGGCTTGAGTTGAGGGCTTTCCGTATTTCTGTATTGAAAACCCCCTTTCGGAAAGGGTGGGCGGAAGAGAGGCCGTGTCGTCCAGAATTGTGAGCTCAGGCAACACGCGTCAATGGCGGCTTAAAGTTACCACGTTGGGCTCTTGGTTCAGGGGATACCGTAGGGTCTTCATTAACGTCTAGGGGACCAGGATCCCGAAGTTTCAAGCAACCACATATGTGACAACCTGGCTCAACAAAGGGTGATGATATTATGGCGAGGTGATCATCGACTGGAGTCTTTGAGGGCACGGGTTTCTGTTCCCTCGCGGTGGTGCGGTCTCCTGTACGGTCAAACTGTCAACCTAGCGCCAATTACCCAAAGAGCACACACACAGGCACGACAAACTGCCAAGCTGTTGAAAATGTGCCAGAGACCTTCAGAATAAAATGCTTGAGTATGCACTTTTTGGGCAGGGCTTTGTTTGCACCCCGAATTGGTTCCCTTTAAACCCTGTTCAGGAGTTTAGGCCTAGGTTCTAAATTCGGCTGGTCAGTCTCAAAAACTTCTGGAATGTCATCAGCGGACGGTCTAGTGAAGAAAGAACTACATAGATGGAACACAAGAAGAGTGGTTAAACATGTTGGTGAGGATGATGGTGCAGCCTAGTAAGAACTGTAGCTAGTTACGGTTCATACAAATCTACGAACCAGTGGGAACACATCCTTCAACCTCCTCCCAGTTTTCAAACGATAAGGCTCTACGGAGCCGGGGGGACCACCCATATTGGGTCGTGCCCCCGGCTCCTCCACCGTCAGAGAGGGCGGGGCTTGCAAACGACAGTGGATCAAGGATGACATATAGTAGCTATTTTGTTGTTCATACAGGTATATACAGTACATTCCCTGACACCATGCTATTGTTGCGGTGCCGCTTTGTGAGCTGTGGCTGATACAACCATGAATCCACCTTGGCGGCACTTTGGATGGTTTTTTTCAGGTGAAATCTCTCTCTTCTTCCCTCCTTACACCCCTAAAGCGAGCGGATTTTTGTGGGGGCATTTGCGGGCAGCATTTTCATCCCCTTGCTATGGAAGGCGGGAACCCGAAACGCGGGAGGTGAGGGACTATGGGGCCAGCCCGGCGGGCGCTGGGTGAGTCCTTTACGCGACGATCCCCAATGGACCCCCTGCTCCTGCAAAACTTCTCCGGGCCCCGATAAACCCGCGTGCTGTCAGCACATCCTTCGCGCGTTTGCAGTACGACCTTCTTGTTGTTGTAGTTATTATTGTTGTTCGCCATTCGTGGTCCGTGCTTCGTTGTTCGTCCTTTCGTCGTCGGTTGTTGTCGTTGTCATCGTCATCGCCAGCGGCATGGTCATCGACATATTCATCGTTGTCATCGTGATCATCGCTGTCATCGTCGTTATCGTCGTCATCGTCGTGTGTCGTCGTCGTGTGTCGTCGTCGTATGTCGTCGTCGTATGTCGTCGTCGTATGTCGTCGTCGTATGTCGTCGTCGTATGTCGTCGTACGCCGGCGTCGTATGTCGGCATCTTACGTCGTCGTCGTATGTCGTCGCCTGTCGTCGTCGGTCGTCGACTGTGTCGTCGTGCTCTGTCGTCGTCCGTCGTCGTCGTCCGTCGTCGTCGCGTGTCGTCGTCCGTCGTCGTCACCTGTCGTCTGTGCTCGTCTGTCGTCGTGTGTCGTCGTTTGTCGTCGCCTGTCGTCGCCTGTCGTCGTCTGTCGTCGTCTGCCGTCGTCTGTCGTCTGTCGTGTCGTCGTCTGTCGTGTCATCGTCTGTCGTGTCGTCGTCTGTCGCGTCGTCGGACCAGCACGCCGAGAGGGCTCCAGGTTCAGTCGCGCCGGCGTGACCGTGAAGGCTTTCATGGCTCCCGAGTAAAATCTCCGCAACACTGTAGCTGTAGGAGCCTACTCCAACAAGCTTCAGGCACTAAACCCTGAACCCTACCTCAGATTTCTCAGCAAGGCCCCTACAGTCAACCCAGTGGTCCAGATGTGTAGACTCATCGCAGGAGATTGGGGGGCCTCATGAAAGACGGAGCACAGGTCTCGAAACCCCCAAGCTTTGCCCTTTTTGGGGTTGACCCCAAGCCCAGAGCCCAGTCCAAACCCACAGACCCACATAAACCTACTCGAGTCTGGCCATCTCTGAAGCCATGGCTGCCTCAGGCATCGCGTTCTGTTTCGTTGGGCTTCAGAGTTTCAGGGTTCTGAGACTCGGGTCGAGGCCTATTGTTGGCTCCAAGTGAGGTCAACTCCACTCAACTCCATTACACGATATCTTCGAATTCTTGTATGGCTGCTTCCGTAGCTCCGGTGTGGCGCTTGTTGGCCATGCTCCGTTTATGGACCTATGCGGAGAAGCATCTACGACCCTGAAGCACTAAAAGTAACCCTGCCCACACCCCAAGCCCTAATTCTATCTCGTAAGCCTGCTTTCGGCCATCTGCCCGAAGACCCCGAAGTTGCAACCTCCGCCGGACCCCGCCTCTGAACCTGAACTGTCTAAATTTTTTGTCTAAGCCACAAACCTTATACACCTACGACAGGAAGTGGTGGGCCAAAACCTGGAGGAGGCAAGTCCCTGTTTGCTGGCTCTTGGTCGAAGTGTTCAAGGGGAGGTTCGAAGCTGCGAGGCTTCAGAGTTCTGAGACTCTGAGAAGTGTGATCATGCAGGTGGAGACATGTGCGTGTCATTGTGCAGCGCATCAGCAGCACACGGGCTTACACAGCACGCGTAAATTAGCTTGCGTTCCCTCAGCCGAGTTTCTGGTGGCCTTGAGAGTTTGAGGATGGGTGGCCTGGTGAGTTGGAGGATGGGATTTGAGCATAGGTCCTGTAAATCCCAGTGGCAAACGGCTTGCGGTGGAGGCGAGGCCCTCGTCAGCTTCGTGACTAAGCTGCCCGATGCTTTCCAGGCGAGATCTTGGGGACATTTTTTGGGTAAATCTGGGGCTTGAGCACCCCCAAGCCCTGAACCCCCTCGCTTTAAGTCAGGTTCCCTGTTTCCTCTCACTTCGATGTCTTGCTCAGGGCTTCGTTCAATTTCATGTGCTCATTTGAGGTTTCTTGAGAGCCTCCGCGGCGGCCATCGGGATGGTGCATAACGGTGCATAAGTCCACAGGACCTTGAACGTGCCCAATTCTTAGCCCGACCCCACACACACCAGAACGAGACCGCAGGTGCCGGAAGAGGAGCTGGTTGTGCCATCAAACCTGGAGCGATATGGGCTGTCAGAGGCCAGACCATCTCACTCCTCAAATTTTCAGTTTGGGCTTGACTGGTTTTGAGCATGAGCTTACAGTAACTTTGCATACATCGTTCCACGTAGGCTTAGACTTCGGGGGTTTTACAAAACTGCGAAATAGGACCCAGCGATGTGTGGACTGTACCTGCGCATCTTGCGAAACGCGACAAACCGGATTGCTATTTACGGACGCCGTCGGCTTGCACGCTCACGTGTCCCAGTGCATGCGCATGTCGATCTGAAACCCTATGCAATTTCGGCTGATGTCAGTGGATGCTTGCTGCACAAGTGATCGCTACAGTAGCGAGGGATCAATGGGACAACGAAGCACTGATAGGGTAGCAAAACATTGAATCCGGACCCTGCTAGACTCCAGAACTTAATTCGGGGCATCCAGCAGCACAAAGCAAGTTGCGGGCAGGTTGTGAACAGGCTCCTGGCGCGCGAGAAGTCGGGCTTCCAAGTAGCGCGAGAGTGCAGATTTCGCCTGGCGGGGCGTTAAGTCTAGGTCACGAAGCAAAATGCCAAAACCCAAAGACACCCTACAACAAAGTCCTGACAGTATTGGCATGTTTTAGGTCCCCACATCTCAGGAATAGCTTGCCAATTACCTGGCACTGTTAAGTGTTAAGGACGCTTGGGATGGCATTTGCGTCTTTGTTTGCGACGGCTTGTTGCCTTTTTGGCTTCGGGTTGTTAAATCTTGCGCTTTCAGATGTTACCTATTGTGCCTCTCTTGGAACAGACCAGTCGCAGACTATACGGAATCCCCGGAGCCGGAGAGATCTCGGAAGCCCTTGATTCAACTACGACCCTTTGAAGTGCTCGGGGCATTTCGGCTCTGATCTTGTAGCTTCGCAAGCCCTGGGCCCTACACTCCCTACAAAGCCCATATCACGCCCTAAAGACGCTTGTGGCGAGGGAGCATCTCTCTCCATGAAGTGCGCTGTGTGCAATGTGGGCACCCGGGGCGATCTGCAGCCGCTGATTGCGTTGGCGCTGGGCCTCCAGAAGAAAGGTCGCCTGCTGGATGGCCTGCTAAGTCCCCCCCCTCAAAAAGTAGCACGCCCTTGGGCATTTGGGCATTTGGGCATATTCTTCAATTTCTTAGCTTCCATTTTGGCCTGGCCATGGCATCACTGTCTTCTTCAGCAGTGCGGTCGCGGTAAGAAAGGGGCCACTGGACGATACTTGTACGGTGTTTAGGAGCCTGTTTCATGGCTCTCCCTTCTTAGAGGTTGGGAGGTCGTCATCATCTCCGAAGAGCGCATCAGCCACTCAGCTCAACTCAGAGACGCAGTTAGCGGCGATTGGCAGATTCTTCAGGCCAAAAATGTACTTTCAGCAGATGTTCAGTGCCATGATATTGGCTGTTGGGCGCAGGCCAGGGAGGAGGGACGTTTGAGACTGCTAGCTGCTGGCTGCATGGCACGGTTGGGATAAGAAGTTCCCACGAGCAAATCCTGCATAGCTCCCGCATTTAGCTTACAAGCCAACAATGGTACTAATCACGAGACACATCTAAATGATTTAAGGATCGCTGGTGGTCGACGAATTTGGCCTTGAGTTTCGAACCATTGCTGGCGACTCCACCGGCATCATCTTCGAGCAGGACATCAGAAAATGGGATGTAAGGAGGCTTCCGGTCCTTTAGGTGGAAAGCTTTTTTTTTTTTTTTGAGGTGGTGCTGTCGAAACAAAATCGGCGCTTCAGGGCAAGCTGGAAATCGGCAAGCTTTGACACAGATGTCTAAACCCTATACGTTTGTAAGCCCTACACCATGAACTCCTACAGCTTAAAGCTGCCTTCCCTAACTTACCTTGAGGAGTATGCAGAGATGCTGGCCAAAGGCAAGCTGATGGCTATGATGCAAGAGACGCAGAAGCGGAAGGCGCCACTCCACCGACAGCTCTGACCTTAGGCCTAGCCTCTAGACCAACCTCCCTCCCCCACCACAAAAGCAACAGACAATCAACTTCTAAATGCCACAAACAACCCAAGCTTAGATGAGCCGTAAGCCGTATTGGTTGCGAGGGGGTGCAAGCACTGCGTGGCACGACAGTGAGAGGCCACCTGGTACGAGCAATTCCTGACAGATCTCGTGGAGCACACGAAGGACACAAGGGATTTGGGGATGAAGGTTTCGGCTGGTTTAGGATTGAAGGGATGAAGGTCGAGGTTTTTCAGACCTCTTACATGTAGTAATGTAGCAGGGCTTGAAAGAACATTGGAGCAGCAGAGCCCTGAGGATGTTCAGATGATGATCTCCGGTCCTTTGGTCTACAGTGAGACATACTGCAGCGTGGCAGAGATTTGTCGTTCCGTGGGTGTATACACATATGCAAAACGATATAGAAAACATTATATACACATATACATGTATAAAAAAACATATATATATATATATATGCATGGGTTGGCCAAGCGAGCCCATTCGCGTCACGTAGTTAGAGCATCATTCGTTTTGCACCGTCTCGGGCAAAACGACGTTTTCAGCAACGCTAAGCCGCTAAGTGGGTCTCATGAGCATCCTGGCGGTGGCGCACACCACGTCTCCCTGCGACTTCCAGGAAGGTGCGAGTACGTGCTTCCCGTGGTAGCTTGAACAAGAGTCTAAAAGCAGGTTTTCACTGCTGGAAGCTAAAGAGATAGAAATAGGACTCTCATTGTGACCCTCCGAAGCCGTCAACCTCTTTTTCAAGATTCGGTTTCGTCTCAGGTGTTGCAGAAAAGCTTGGCATCCCATGGATACCGGTACTGCTGCCCGTCGGGCAAGGAAGAAACTCTTCGAAGATTCCGACGTTTCGTTTTCGTTGATGCTATGGCTTTTGGAGGTTGAGGGGTTTGTTCTAGCTCTGCCCTAGCAAAGCCCCAAACCAGCAACCCTGAAAACTGCCTGAATCCTTCGTGTTTGCGGTGCCTCGGCGCTCGGCTGCTTATTTTGCTGTGGGGTCCGTATACGGAGCTTTCCAAACCAGGCTCGCAAGAACCCCGTTTCGATATTGCCCCAGAAGGTGTATATTTATACTTTTAAAAGCCTGTTTCGGATGTGTGTCATGCTAGGGGTGTGACTAGGGTTGACTGTGGGCCCTGACACTAGCCGCTCCGAAGTGAGAGTCGGGGCTCGACCGAGGTATGGGCCACTTTACCCTACTGCCGAGTTCCCCAACCCCTTCGTCATGGATTCGAGGCTTTCTTGGTACATTTTTGAACCTTCTTGAAGCTTACTGTTTTAATCTTTCTGATTGGCAGCCGAAAGCCTAAAAGCCCTAAACGTCCCGAAGCCGACACCATTGCACCTAAATCCGCTGAAGCTTGAAGCAAGGAGTCGAATTGGTTTAGCTGGCTGAACCTCTTCACGTGCGGGAGCCTAGAGGGTTGCACAGCCGGAGACCTTAGGATCCAAACACTTCAGCAGTTTGAGTGTTCGGTGTTAAGGGCCCAAAGCCCTGAACACACTGAGGCGGCCCAGGCGGGGCTTACATCCTAAATCCAAGAGTCGCTGATGGCTCGTATTAATTAAAGGGCATTCAAACTCGCCCGGGTTCAGATTTGTTGTTCCCAACCCGACAAGTGGGGTACGTAGTTAGATGTTATAAGGACGAAGTGGAGCGCATCACGTGACGCGACGCAGTCAGGACAGTGCAAGGAGAACCAGTGCAAGATTCAGGACAGTACAAGGACAGCAGGTAGGACAGGGGCTCAGGCGGGCAACCAGGGAGGCTCAGGCGGGCAACCGTACCGAAATGTCGCCAGGTTAAGCAGGCCAGGAAGGCTCAGGCGGGCAACTGTACCAAAATGCCGGCCACAAAAGCTCAGGAGGGCAACCGTGCCGAAATGTCGCACACCAAGCAGGCCAGGGAGACTGGGAGGCTCAGGCGGGCAACCGTACCGAAAGGTCGCCTTGCCAAGCAGCCAGTGGGCGACAGTGCCATACTAAGCAGGCCAGGGAGGCTCAGGCGGGCTGGCCGCAAGCCGAAATGTCGCTTCCATACGGGGTTGGATCTAGATTAGGGTCTGCGTGTCGTCATGCACGCACGCAAGGTTTCCTTGCAGAAGAGCCCCCCAGAGGCTCCCCGATGTTCGAAGTGATAATTTCAGGGCCTCCCGCTGCAGATTAGGGGATTCCTGGGAGGAAAGTCGGCCGGGAGGAAGAAAGCGAGGCCACATGGTCAGTCCTCTAAATTAGGGTCCTTTTTGGGTTTCCCGTTCTTTATCCACAGTTTTCAAAAAGTGTACCCCAAAGAACCGCAATTGATAGAAGTGACCGTATGTCTCCATTTTCAAGATCTTTGTGTCAGTCCGAAGCTGCACAATGCTGAGCCCTCTGAAAGAACGCCCCTCGAGCCGTTGAGGTACAACTTTTTGTACTGGGCTCTTTGGATGCAGGAGGGCAGCCAGATCAACCGCTTCCGAGCCGCTTGGTTCTACTTTGAGCTCCGCACTTCGTTTCATCAAAACGCATGAAACATGCTGACGCACTGTCCCTGGTGCACACAAGCCTTGAACCCAATCAAGTCCTAAGCCATAAGCCCTAAACCGAGGGTACGTTTGGATGGAGGCTTGGTGGTTGAGGGTTGGGTGCGACGGATCGACTCTTTATTCACAGCGACCCCCTCTTGCGAGCGCTCAATCCGAAGGAGAAGTTGGGCCTGCCTGCGTTGCAAGTCCGGCGTGGCATGATGAGCATGATCGAGGAGAGGCTCGCCACGTCTTTGGTTGCTGGAAGGGTTGGGGCTGCTACCTTTTTCGTAAAACCCAATCCCGCAGGCGCCTAAAAATCCAGGGTTTGGATATCGGATTACTTAGCGTAAACGTTTTTGCCGTTCTCAAAGCTGCTGAGGAAGAAGCTCCTGGTCTTGGGCGCCTTCCACGAGGCGGGGGTCCAGATTTCATGGGGGGCTTTGTTGACGGTATGGAGGCTTCGAAGAATTAGAAGGATGTGATCGTACTCACTGACTTTGCGATCTTCGAATATGCAGGGAAATAATTCAGCAGTAGTAGAAGTCACAGTAGTGGAGAGAGCAGAAGGAGAGCAGGCGGAGGAAGAGATGATCAAGGGGCAGGAGGGACAGCAGTAGGATGAGGAAGCAGAGGAAGTGACGACGACAGCAGCAGTTGCATTGGCACTTGCAGTCGCTGCGTTGTTGTCAGGAAACTCAGGTCCACTTTCAGTTGATGTAAAGGCTGAAACAGGCTTAAGCAGCCCCAAACGGCAAACCTCTTGCTTGGCATGTCGTAAACCTTGAACAGCAAGCCCCCGAAATGTAAATGCAAGGCTTGAGCCTCAACACGGTCTTCGTGAGCACCCTCAACAAATCCCAAACGCTACAAATCTGAACCGAACAACCCTGAACCCTAAAGTTGATTAAAGGCCGAAACTCCAAAAGTCCAAGCCATCTTGAAACCCCCGTCTGTTTGAGCTCCCTCGAAGCTTCAAGCCCTTGACACGTCAAGCCCTGGCCAGCAGGTGTCAATCCCACATCCAGCCGCCCCCGCAGACTGGCCGGAGTCCTTCTTCTTTTCAAACGCCCCGCGGCATTTTAGGGACTGGAAAGCCGGAAGCTTTGGAAGCCTTGGAAGCCTTGGAAGCCTCAGAGTGAAGGGTTGAGGAGGCGGCATTTGCGGTCATTCGCCTTCTCAGTTTTTCTTCGTCCCCAGCACGCCGGCTGCCGCGGTGCCCGGCCCGCTGTCATCCTTCCTCGAAGAAGTCGGCTCCAGGCCTGAGCGGACGTTGAATCGGTGGAATGATTGAGCGTTTGGGGATGGAAAAGTCGTGAGTTGCAGGGCAGAAAGCACACATGTAACAGCATGGCATTCCTGACCACTTAACCATTACCCAAAGCCATCTGGCACCGCCGGGAAACATGTCAGGTTTGAGCGCTTGCGTCCTGAGTTCAAGCCCAGTGCCCCGAAACTCAGTCGTCTCAGGCCTGTTGTTTACCTTGGCCTGGGCTCCATGCCTGCTCCCAGGCCTGTCCAGGGCAGTGGCTCCGTTTGAGTCCAGGGTTCGGACGTTCGGAAGCCAAGGCTGAGACTTCAGAGGGTTTTTCTGGGTTCGAAGGTTGTCGGGTTTCAGGGTTCGAGGGCGGAAGGCGGAAGAGTCCTACTTGTAGCATCTATAACCATCCGCAAAGCCACGAAACCTTGGAAGAGTTCGCCCGCCACCCCCGAGGCCACAGGCGCACCACCAAACGTCCCGAACCCGCAAGCTCTTCAAGCCATGCCCAACCCGAATGCCAGACTTGAGAACACAAATGAAGGTGCGTAGCATGTCGAAATATATCTTTCACTTGACATCATTAGAGAGCCAATATGAAAAAGACAAGTGCTCCAAAAGAGGAAATTCAGTGCACTTCAGGACCTTTCTAGCGGCTACAACTGCAACAAATCCAGTACAAAATCCTACGATAAAGTGCATACAACTACAATAAAACTACCGAACCAATAAACGAAGTCAAAGATCCTTGGAAATAGATGGGCTGTTGGAAACAGAGGTTCTTGGGGCGCATGATATTCTGCTCTTTTCTTATTTGCGATTTTAATGAGAAGTCTTGTACCCTTTTGCCCTTACATTTGTGTTATCTTAAGTCTTTATGCTTATACTGTTATGCAAAGAGAGATCACTCATTGTAGTCCCTCAAAACAGCTCTCGGCTACACGATCAGCATAACCCCAGACCTTCTTACCGCTGCCCTTACACCCTGGACGTCAACAAGTCCTGCACCCTATTTAGAAGCTCGTGAATGAAGGCCCCAAGACCTGGTCAACTTGGCAGAAACCATCGTCGAGAAGTTAGAGGCGAAGATTGGAGACACAACCACATGCTGTCGCTTTGTTTTTCTTGATGGGGGGGGGAGGGTTCCGGATTTAGATGGATTTAGGGGGCTGCCTGTATACGTCTCAAACAGCGCCGAAATCATGTTCAATGCAGTCCTTTTAGGGCTGCAGGCCCAGGCCTGGGCTACACAAAGCAAAATTCCCCCCAGCATGCTAGAGTGCTAGAGCCCCAAGCCCATGGGAGGTCGCTGCGGTGCTGTGTGCCGGCTGGTCTGACATCTCTTTCAAGTCGAAGGAGCGCTGAGGGTTTCGTGGTGTCCCTGTGTTTTGCACCTTCAAAACAGGTGAAGGGTTTCCAGTGCTTTACTTGGGCCTGAACCCTTACAAGCGGCTCTGAGGCCCTGAGGCCTTGAATCCCCAGGATCCTAAAGCCCAGGGCTCAGGAGTGTGGAGGGTTTTCGGGCTTGAAGGCTTAGTCAGCTTAAGTGGTTCAGAGTTCGGGTACGGTTTTGGATTCTTGCGCTTCGTGGCTCACAGTTCAGACATGTTCAGACGCACCAAAGCTGCTTTTGGTGCGTCCAGTCATTCCTCCTTCGCGGGGAGGCATCTGCCCTGAGCATCCTGAAAGAACCTGAGAGGAGGCTGAGCGGCGCATCCTTGTTGTCAAGTCGGCGCCTCATGACTTCCTGCTGCCCCGCTGCCGCGTGCTCCTGCACCATGCGGGCGCCGGCACCTGTGCTGCGGCGCTCCGAGCGGGCGTGCCCAGCGTGTGCCGTCGCGGCAGTGAAGTCAGAGTCTTTTAGAAAGGTCATATGGGTTGAACATCTTGCTGACATACTTATGGAAAACAAGTCATGGTGCACCACTAGCCTGCTGGTCAAAGCCACGCAGTGCTGCTTGATTTTTCAGAGGACTGCCACGTGTCACCCTGAGCAAAACAACAATCAAGGTCAGGATATGTCAGGACCACACTTACAATTGTACGGCCCAAAGGTTGCCTTCAAATCACCAGACTTCAGTAGCTCACAGCTACTCTAGGGCTACGCTAGCTAGACCTGCGACTGAGAGCCGACACTGAGAGCCTTCTTTGAGGGCTCCCGATTCAAGGTGTCTGCCAGTGATGCTGGACCAGCCCACCAACGCCAAGCACCTGAACCGTCTCTGGGATGCAAGGGATGTCATGATGCAACATGATGATACACGAGATACACGTAATGTATGCGTTTGGAGGGTTTGGGACTCACGGGGTCAGGTTCATCAGATGCACCCCGGAAGAAACAAGAATAAGGAACTTTATGATCTACTTGAGCAGCTCAGTCTTTTCGATGCAGAAGCACAATGTCACAAGAGGAAGCCAGCACAACTGCATCTCAACTCAATACAGGCCCGAGAGCAAAAGCAAGGAAACACTGATCAACCTCTGCCCTAAGCATTCAATCCCGCACCCTTAGCAGCAGCCTAGGCTTGGGCGTGGCCACACCGCCGATCCTGTTTCAGGACGTTCCAACCTCCGTCGACCGCGTAGTGGAGCAGGCGGGCATTGTTGGACTTGCCATGGGCTGCAGGGCTGGGTATTAGGTTTGAGATTGCTATTGCGAGCCATGAAGCTGAAACCCGAACCCCTCAAAACCTCAGATTATATCAAATTATTTTTAAGGGGCTGTGCCCATGGGCGGGCAGCGCAGGCAGAAGCGCGGGGCCAGCAGTTTCTAAGCATTTTGAGGCCCCTAAACTCCCTTAAAATCTCTAAGCGTTTGAGGCTCCTCAACCCCCTTAAAGTTTCTAAGCATTTTCAGGCCCCTAAACTCCCTTCAAATCTCTAAGCGTTTGAGGCTCCTAGACTCCCTTAAAGTTTCTAAGCACTTTATAAGGCCCCTAAACTCCCTTTTTCCTAGCCCCGGGCTTAGACACGTCGCTTATGCCCGCCCTTTGGGGGGCGTCATGCTCCTGATGCGCCCCCGGGGTCCCGCCCCGGGAGCCGCCTGATGCTCCTGATGCGCGCCTGGGGGTCCCGGGCTGGACCCGCTGATGCTCATGATGCGCGCCCTCTGGGGGCCTCCGTGGCGACGCAAAAAACCACGAAAATAAAACCGTTCACCGGCGGCACGCGGGGGTCGGCGGCACTGGCGTCCGGCCCAATCCGGCCCCCGCGCCGCCCGTGGTCCAGGGCGGAGCCCGCGTCGCACTAAAGCGCTAGCTTTAAGGGGCGAGCGCCCGAGCCGCCGACCCCGCCCAAAATTGCTTCAAATTCGCGCGGGGCCCTTCGGGAGGCCTCCAAAACGGCATCCAAGGGGACGCAACACGCGGTGGTGCGAAAAGCACGAAAACCTCGTAAAAACCATGGGTTTTTACGAAAAACCGAGGCCACAAAACACCCGCAGCACCCCATTAAACCCTCACGGGCGCGCATCATCGGCCCTAGCTTTTCACATGGGGCGCGCGCCAGGCCGAAACCACGTTTTTCAAGGTTTGGGGGGGGTACCGGAAGCCCAAAACCAGGCGAGCATCATGAGCATCAGCAGCCCTGGCCCGCGGGCCCAAGGCAATAAAAAACGCTGAAAAACGCTGAAATCACCGTAAATACCGTGTTTTTATGAGGTTTTTCACGCGTGCCTCCGACCCCCACCCCTGTTGCCCTTGACCCGCCCCCAAAGTGCGCATCATCGAAACCCACGTCCGGGGGGGGGTCTGCTGATGCTGCTGATGCGCGGGGTCCGGGCGCATCATCGAGCCATCGCTTCTCTTGGGCTTCGTGGGGGGGTCCGGGCCCACGGCCCAGAGACCCAGCTGATGCTCATGATGCTCGGTTTGGGGGGGTGTTCCAACAGCAGAAAACCTCGTAAATACCGAGTGTTTTGTGGGTCCACGTAAAAACGCCCCTAAAATCGCTCATTTTACGCGCTCGAACGGCTTCGTGCCTACAAAACACCCGAACAGCAGGACCCCGAATGCCCTTAAGGGCATTCGGGGTCTTGCTTTTGGGGGTTTCGTGGGCACGCAAGCGTTCAAGCACATACAATCGGCGTGTTTAAGGGGGTTTTGGATGGCCTGGGGGAGGCCGCTGATGCTCATGATGCTCCCTTTCCTGGGTCCCAAAAGGCTTCCCAAGCCCAAAAACACGTGTTTACAGCGTTTTCTGAAGGTTTTTCGAAGGCAAAACGCATGCATAGAATGCTTTTAAGGCCCCCAAACCAACCCCACTGATGCTCCTGATGCGGGTGCGCGCGCGCGCGCGCGGCGCGCGCGCGGGGGGGGGGGGGAGGGGGGGGGAGGCAGGAGAAAGAGAGACAGAGAGAAGGAGAGGACAAAGACACGGGAAAGAGAAGACAGTGCCAAGGTTCAAGGTTTCGTGCTTTGGGGGGCGGGGGCCGGCCCGTGCCGCTAGGCCTGAAATTCTGCTTCGCAGAAGGCCGCAGGCTAGCAAGGCTATTCCCGGGACGACCCGGGTTAAAAGGTCCGCCAACGCTCGGTCCTTGGGGACCTCGCGCTGCCCGATTTTAAGGGGCTGCGCCCATGGGCGGGCAGCGCAGGCAGAAGCGCGGGGCGAGCAGATCCGTCAAGGGTTTAGGGTTTAGGGTTTAGGGTCCTATGCCCGCCCTTTGGGAGCATCATGCTCCTGATGCGCCCCCGGGGTCCCCTGATGCGCGCCTGGGGGTCCCGGGCTGAACCCGCTGATGCTCATGATGCGCGCCCCTTGGGGGGCATCATGGGGCATCCGCGCCCGTCCCATTTTTCGTGCCTCAACCCGGGCCGCGAAAGGTCGGCGGCACTGGCGTTCGGCCTAATTCTGCTTCGCAGAAGGCCAGAGGCCAGCAAGGCTATTCCCGGGACGACCCGGGTTAAAAGGTCCGCCAATGCTCGGTCCTTGGGGACCTCGCGCTGCCCGATTTTAAGGGGCTGCGCCCATGGGCGGGCAGCGCACGCAGAAGCCCGGGGCGAGCAGTTTCTAAGCATGTTGAGGCCCCTAAACTCCCTTAAAATCTTTAAGCGTTAAGTTTCTAAGCATTTTCAGGCCCCTAAACTCCCTTCAAATCTCTAAGCATTTGAGGCTCCTAGACTCCCTTAACGTTTCTAAGCACTTTATAAGGCCCCTAAACTCCCTTTTTCCTAGCCCCGGGCTTAGACACGTCGCTTATGCCCGCCCTTTGGGGGGCATCATGCTCCTGATGCGCCCCCGGGGTCCAGCCCCGGGAGCCGCTGATGCTCCTGATGCGCGCCTGGGGGTCCCGGGCTGGACCCGCTGATGCTCATGATGCGCGCCCTCTGGGGGCCTCCGTGGCGACGCAAAAAACCACGAAAAAAAAAACCGTTCACCGGCGGCACGCGGGGGTCGGCGGCACTGGCGTCCGGCCTAATTCTGCTTCGCAGAAGGCCAGAGGCCAGCAAGGCTATTCCCGGGACGACCCGGGTTAAAAGGTCCGCATTTGCTCGGTCCTTTGGGGACCTCGCGCTGCCCGATTTAACGGCTACCGCCAGTGCCGCCGACCCCAGACAGGAGGGCGGGCGGCAGGCCGGCAAGCCGCAGAGCCAGTACAGGCTCCAAGATTTAGGGTTTAGGGTTAAGGGCTGTAGCAAAAAATATTTAAAAAGAATGAGTTCTATGTATAACTAATATCTATACACATAGTATTTTAAAGTATATAATGAGTTTTTGGTAAACATGAAGACCAAAAGATAAAGGAGATATCTTTTAGTGATCTTTTATCTTTTTATATTTGTATAAAACCGAAATTCATATCTTTGGGGCTCGGGGCAGGGCGCTAAGGGGCGCGAGGGTTGGGCATGCGCTGCAAGTGTGAGGGGGGTGATGAAGCAGGCAGCAGGCCTGAAAGCATTGGGGGGTGGGGGGGAGGTGGGGGGGTGCTGGGGTGTGGGGGGTGGGGTGGGGGTGGGAGGTGGTTCCAACACAGCCCCGGCCCCATGGCTTCATGGCCCCAGCGCCCCAGGGCCCTACCCCCATGGCCCCATGGCCCAGCCTAGATCGGCCCTAAGCTCAGTTGCCGTTTGCTCCAAAGCGCCTGTGTGGTAGGGCCATGGGGCCATGGGGGTGGGGCCCTGGCGTGCTGCCATGAAGCCATGGGGCCAGGGCCGTGTTAGAGTGGCCCGGGGGGGGGGGGGGGGGGGGGGGGGGGGGGGGGTCGGGATGCTGCAAGCGCCTTGGGGGACGTAGATGAGGTGGGGGAGGGGGGGTTCAGGGGGCGGGGGGCTTGGGGGGGTGGGGGCGGGTGGGAGTTGGGGAAGCGCTTGGCGGACTGTCATGGATGAGGTGGAAGGTCTAAAAAGCAGTGGGTCTTCACTGACGCCGCCCCCGGCTGGGGTCGGCGGATATCCGAGACCGGGACTTTCTCAGCCCTAAGAAACCATTCCACGTGCCGACTCCGCCAGTATTTCAGGGTTCAGAGGTTTGCGAGTGTCGGGTTGGGAAACCCAGACCTTGCACCCCTTGAGATACTACAACATGCACCAATCTAGCTGGTCGTGCTACTGAGCAAGCTTAGAGCCCCTAACCTGAAACCTCGCCCGCAGGTGAAGACTGCGCTGGAGTCGTCGGAGATGCGCACAAAGGCGGAGGCAATTGCAGGCCTGGGGAGCCAAACCTCCCCAACAACCTGTATCAGTCGCCTCCTTGAGTGTGGTTGGCCCATGATGGAACTGGAAGGGGTTCAAGGCATATAAATCCCTGAGCCTGGAGCCCCAAAACTGCAAAGAGCGCTGCCGAATTCATCAGGCCGCGTCCGCCAGAGTGACGGCGTGTCGGCTGCGCTGGAACGCATTTTCCAGGCTTATCCAGAGGGCCGGCTTCCCTGAAGGGTTTCGGCGCCTGAATAAATGGGCTCATGGAGTTTTAGCGGTTAGGGGCTTCGATGGGCTCAGGGGAGTTTAATTAGTGTTGTAGAGTGGTTGTCGCAGCAGGGGCTTAGGCGCCAATGGGCTTTGCGGTTTTGTTCGTCGCCGCTGCAGTCGGTTTTGTATCCGGCAGCGGTGTCGAGGGCTTGCGGTTTCCTGTGCAGAATTGTCGCGAGCTCGGAGGGAAGAAGGCAAAAGGGGCGCACGACCTGCCTGCCAGGAGCCAGGGGGTCAGCCTTCATGCACAATTAGCCATGAAATTGGGGTGAAGCCTTGCCCTTGTCTGTTGGCGCACCTATTCTCTCAGCTGATGGGCTTGAGCCTGTGTTTTGAATCCCCAGCAGTCAAGTCTCTAAAAGCTTCGTCTGCCGACTGCCCTTAAATCGACCTCAAAACCCTGAAATAAAGAAACCCTCTCAAGTCTCAAGGCCCGTTCCTTTCGACTTCCTGGTGGAGGGCGAGTTCCTGCGCTCCAGTATCTCGGGGTATCTGGAGGCTGGTTAAGCCCAGCTCTGCAAAGTGGGTTAACGGTTCGGCCTGGATCAGCGTAGCCCGTGGCGAGGAGAATTCCTTGTTTCCGCAGCGTACTGGGAGGCGTCTTTCTAGCACTCTCTAGCTCTCTCTCTCTCTCTCTCTGTCTCTCTCTCTCTCTCTCTCTCTCTCTCTCTCTCTCTTTCTTTGTCTAGCTAGCTCTCTAGCTCTCTCTCTCTCTCTCTCTCTCTTTCTCTCTAGCTCTCTCTCGCTCTATAAATGTGGAACCTTGTGAAACCTCTGCAGCATCGCGGCTTGTCAGAGTTCCTTAGCCCAGCACCTCAAACAGGTTGCTAGTCATATTGCAAGGGCGCCGCTGCGAGACACACACGCGCACACACAGACACACTCGGAGCAGATCGTCAAAGCGATCTGTCGGCTTCAGCAACCGTACTAGATGATGTCTTGAACATTGATTGAGCGTTGAAGTTGCAGGTACATGGCAAGAACGTCTTCTTGCCATATCGGTGCCTCTACACTTCTGTAGGGCAGACACCCCCTGCATTCACATAGAGAACTTAGAAACAGAGTTCACACACACACACACACACACTCACCCGCACACCCTCTCACCCCTTCATCCCCCGACCCTGAGCCCCTTTTAACGTCCAGGCGCATAAGCTTTCCTCCGAGAAAGTGCTGAAACTGGAGTTTGTGCGTGAAGCCAAGAGTTGCTGTTTGCTCGGGACATTTGGGGATGCCGCTGAAAGGACTTCGGCTTGTTGAATTTGCCTTGAGCCCGATAGGGAGGGTGTACTGAAGGATTTCTGCGGATATGCCATATACTGTAAGAAGGTAGAGGGATGGGTTACGTGCAGTCCCACGCCAGAGACTCCACTTGTCCAAAACACCCCGTTTTGGCCCTAAATCTGCCAGAAACTCGAAGCCCTAAGCCATCCTACTGAACTGTTAAGGCTCGCACTGCGAGAACCAGAGCAATCGACGGTCGATGAGGCTCGAAGCGTGATTGTTGGGTTTGGGACGATGTGGTTTTCAAGTAAGCGTTAGGACCTTTAGGGGATGATGCGGGCATAGGGGTCTTAGCTTGCGGAGGTAGTGATTCGCGGGGTAGATTGTGAGGGTGCTTTGATGGGTGATGAAAGTTAAAATTGGCAGGGCTCGGGCAGATGTAGCTTTGAGAGTCAGTGCCTATCCTCGCTGCATGCCTGTATGGTGTCTGTTTGTCAGAGTGGTGACCCTATAAGGCGGAGAACTCCAACAAGCTCTGGCTTGGAGAGCCATAAGATTCCGTTGACTGGGCGTCTGACGCAGAGTTGGTTCGACCCGTCCAAACGACTGGTGGCAGGCCCCATAGCACTGTAGCATTCCATGCATAATCAACATATCCGGCGGAGACAGCATCATCGCTTGCGAGCTAGGCAGAGCGTTCCCGAAACCCCAGCCCTACTTCAAGCCTTAATGGTGCCAAACCCTGTAGACCCTGAACCCGCAGCTCAAGCCAAAACCCGAACCGCACCTGCACGCCCCGCCCAGCTACTCGGGTCGCGTCTGGGGTTTGATTCAACCGCCTCCCTGTTTGCAAGACCCCGGAGTGGATCGCCGCAGTGGTGGCTCTGCAGGCCAGAGCTCTTAGGGTTTGTGGATTTGGCTTGGTACTTGGTCTGGACAAGTATTCCCGTGAGATAAGCACTATTCGGATTTGTGTAGTTGGTTCTGTAGCACGCTGGCAAGATACTGTAGGGCTCAAGTTTAGGGCGTGTACCCCTCAAGAGAACACGTCTTCGCCAAGAGAGTGTGTGCTGCGAGCTCGTTGACGCAGAGCACCTTCACAGGTCAATCTAATCTATGCGCGGGTAGACCACGTCTAAACTAAACTTAAACTGTAGACTAGTAGACCTGCATGTTCACTGGAGTCCAGCCTACTCAGGGCTATCCCAGTTCGTGGTTCGCCGCCGTCTCATACGACGGCACACTTCGCCAAAACCTTGGCTTTGGCCGTCACCCGCAAGAAAAATGCAAATACAAATAAGAGCATCAATACAAACATAAACATAAAAATAAATCTAAATATAGATACATATAAACAAAAAGTAAACAAAGACATAAGTAAATACATGAATAAAGCAATACATATACATATATATATATATATGTTCTGAACTTGCCGTTATGCAGATTGACGATTGAAGATCGCCACTTGTGAATTAAGGTATCCGAGACTCTTGCATAGGCTTTATGTGCCCGATTCAGCTCACTCTTTCTGAGTTCTTACTGCCAGAACTCAGGAAAGGTGACAGCTGTTTTGGCAAAGCACGTGCCAGGTCATTCCCTGGATCCGCTTCAACCTGCAAACCTGGCTGTTTGAACCCCCAATCAATCCTAGCCCCGAAACCCTCAATCCCAGTTAATCACAACCCTACGGCCCTACGCGCAAAACATCTCAAACCCATCTTTTCCTTCCAAGGTCTCTACGAGAACTCCGAGGCGCGATTGACCTCGAGGCCGCCAACCTCCTCCTCTGACCTATTCCTTACGGCCTTGCGGGTCTTACGGGTCTTAGAGGCAACCGGAACCTTGAACACAGAACCTGACATCCCAACGCCCTCAACCCTGAACCGACTGGCCATGGATCCCGACTGAGATCTCCTTCACTGGAGCTCGCTGTGCATGTCATGTGCCCTCCATAAGGTTGGTGCTAGTTCGCTGGTGCTTGGGTTGAAGTCCTACTTGTGCTTGCACGTTCACGAAGTCCAAGCAAAGTCTGGAGCGCGCATCTCAGCCTCTGCTTTGCTGTCGGCGTTGCTTCCGCGGCTCCAGTTGCTTCATCTTCGGCTTATTCAACTCCTGCTCAAAACTGATCCTTGCACAGCGCATGAGGAAACATTCAGAGTGTCTTTGGCCCTCTCCCTTCCATCTTTGATAGGCTTTCGGACGCCGGCCTCGCAGCCGTTGCTGCACTACCGGTGGACGGCGGCAGGCGCGATCGGAAATGTCTTTTTGGGAACTTTTAGATCCTGCAAACTTCGACCCACCAATTCTCCCATAATAATAGCAATCCAATAACAACACGGCCATACCCTCAACCTGAAGTCCCTAGGACTGCCGTAACACAATTAGACACAGGTCACACCCCAAAAAGCACCCCAATCCCCAAGCGCACTGAGCTGGAGGGGCTCGCACCTCGTGGCAGCTGGTGTCTGCCTGAGGGATGAGTGGCAAATGCAGGCTTGGTGTCATATTTGGGTTTCGGGATTTACTGAGGGTAAAGAAGAGTCAGCAGAAGAAGGGCTTCGGCAGGGGCTGGAGCTTGTGTAGATGGGAGCGATCAGGGATGTTAGGAAAGCAGCCCAAATAGCTGTGAGTGGCCAGCTGGGCTCTCTTGGGCCTTAATCCCAACACCCTTGATGGGAACAAAGGCCTGGACGGCTCAGTGCGGAGCTGCGCGCTTCGGCACGAGGGTGCTCCCGGGAGTGAGAGGACTGTGGGCTTCAGGTCGAGGTTGTAAGCTTGACGGTGAGGTACCCAGGTTGGGCTTACGTTGTGTTGTTCGGTGATCTGAAATCTCAGGTGATTGCCGCAGGCTCCTGCCCTGCCCCAAACATGTTTTAGTCTTAACCTTTTGCGCATGTCTGCTGGGAAGCCTGAAGGGTTCCGACAACAAGAGCACTGTTCATCCTGCGGCAGTTGACGCGGCAGCTCTCCAAGATGTTCCAAAGCCCCAGGCACCAAAACACCAAAGGCACGAACACCACTACACCACTGACTCATTCGCCTGGAGAGGGCCCGTCACCACAATCCCCAACAAACCGTTCAAGCCCGAAGGCGCCCTAAGTCCCAAATGCCCTCAGGCACCGCGCCTCCGGCGGTGGGGCCGGTGGCAGAGCGGCGGGGGCCGGCGGTGCCCCAAGCCCTTCAGGTCGGGCTTCAGGATTTTTTGTAGGCCCTGATGCCCCGCAAAGTGCCAGTCAGCTCAGTGTGCAGGGGTTTGGGGAATTTGGAGGTTGTTTCTTGCTGGAGTTCAAAGTTGACCTATGCACCACACCTCCCAGGTCGCTACACCACGAAAAGAGTTGGGGCTGTCTCACCAACATCAGTTGAACATGGAACCAAGACATCACAGATATTTCGACCAACGTCGACGTCGACGCCAATAGCTGTCACCTTCCCTTGCACCGGCCTGGCTAGTGAAGGAGAACATCAAACCCAGTACTTCCTGGGTTTTCGGGTTTATGTGGATCTCAGGCTCGAGGCTGAACAAATTGGAGTTTGTGCTCAGCTTTTTGGCTTCAAATGGCGCTTTCCTTGAATGCCCTAAATCCAACAAAGCCCTCGGCCTTTGAGAGGCCGCCGCCATCAGCGAAGATGGCACGATGATGGCCAGTGCCGGGTGGTCCTCACAGGCTGGGCTGTAGCTGTTTTGATGCAGGTAATCGCAGGTAGTATGGGTTTGCAGAAGCTGACGGGCAGGATGATTGCGGATTTCGAGTTCAGGTCTGAAAGAGAGAGGTTCAACCGTTGTATCGTAGACCGAATCCTAAGAGAGAGATCGGGACCTCGAACAACCGTCTTCGGTCAGTATATATATATATATATACACTACACAAGTGAGAAGCTTGGTACTTCGACCAGCAACATAGACAGCAGCGACTGCTGATCAAATATTCACCATATCAGCTAAATCAACGGCGTGTGGTAGCCTTCGAGGCCTCAGGCCTTCTTGCAATAAAGCCCTGCTCTACAAAAGCCTGGCCGGTACCGTACGTTAGCGTGCGTGGACCATCGCCCTTGTCACCTGATGACTCGATGACTCCGTCTCATCACT